TTCCTTATTGTACTTTTATTTTTTTACTTGTTTGTTTCTACTTTTAGGCGAAAAGTTTGTCACAAAAACTGATATCCTTTCATTCTAAATATTAAGAGCTGATTGCGCATCCTCATTATGAGTATAGCATGTATTTAAAAGTAATTTTTCTTCTATACCTTTCCTTAAAACAATATTTGACATAAAAATACATAATTTTTAAATCAATTATTTATTATAAATCAGTCCATGCAATAAATTTATGATGTATGTAAAGAGGCCCGTAAATGATGCTCAGAGTGCTTTTCTCAGAAGTCTATGAAAATAGATTCAATTTTTATTGATATTTTAAACTTTCCTTATAATATAACTATTTAAGAACAATTAAGAGTAGAACTGTTTAAAGAGGGTTGCAAAATGTTCGATTTATGTAACTTTTTTTTATCCTATATTATTTGAAATAAGTATTATAACACCTAATTTAAAATGTCCTTCTACTCTATATAAAACTATTTCAAGATGATTATAAAATCGAAATAAGTTGTATAACATCTGAAGTTAAAATTAAACGCAAGCAAGCTTATCCAAACAATAAAAAGTAAAAAGTAATAAGCAGAATTTGTGATTTTTTTGATTTTTTTAAAAAAAATCAAAAAAGTCAGATTTTTTCGATTTAAGTCGGATTTTTTTGATTTAAATAAGACTTTTTTTAATTTTTATTCAAGTACACTGTAAGAACTTTGATTTATGACTAAAAAAACTTTCAAAATGTTAATCAAAATTAAATTAATATTAAAACTATATTATAAGAATATTTTAGAAGCTCTAACTACCTAAAATTTTTTTTCATCTTAGTACATAGTTTTGAATGCCTAGTAACTACTTTGAAACAAACGCATGATTGAAATTTAAAGACTAGATGAAATAGAGAATTTAAAGAATATTTTAACTATTAAAACAAAGTTTCAATTACCAAATCATAATTTTAATTTAAAATAGTGATTTCTTTTTTTTCCTCTTGATTTTTAAAATGACTAATTAGATGTAACAGATTGTGTTTGTAAATGTAGTCATTCATAAAAAATAAAAAAAATATTTAATCTAGATATTTTTATATTAAAATATTTATTTTTAATCCTATATCAAAATAGGTAAGTTAAGCAAAAAAAATTCTTTTTAAAAATCTATGTACTCATTTAAATTTTCTTTCTCACAAAATATCTTTATAGAAAATCTGATAATGTCAAAGATACTGTAAACATATTATGAGAAAAAAATACTTAAATGTTTACTTTAATCTGTACTTTCAATCTCAAGAATCAAGACTTTTAAAAATGTAATTACAAATGTGTTGTAATTTAACACATACCAAGAAAGTAATTTCGTTAGCTAAAATTAATTAATGTAGCAATTGACTTAAAATAAATTTCAAAACTAAGAAAAGAAATAATAAAAGTATCAATAATTTAAAACACTGTTTTTTAACTTTTTAAATCAATATATACATAAAAAAAAATCAGTTGATTTAAATCAATGATTTTTCAAAAAAAATCATTTGATTTAAATCATGATTTAAATCGTAATTAAAATCAAGCTGTATTAAATCAACAAACCCTGGTAATAAGAGTAGTGTTTTTTTTATTATTTTATTCGATGGATATTCTTCTTAACTATTTTTTATGTCTGTTACTTTTTAAAATAATTTTCGGTATCTATGCCCAATTTGTTCAACCCTATTATTAAACAAAAACTATCATTTTAAGTACATAAATTGACTATTTTGATTGTTAATAACACAATATTATAATTATTGTGATTCTTTTATAATGGTAAATCATTGGCATGATGTTAATTATCTCAACCGTTAAGAATAGCATTAATGACTATTTACCTAAACTTTATGTTAAAAATTGATCTTTTTAGTTATTTTTTTAAATATATTGTTTCTCTATATTACCTGCATTATTAATTGGAGAGGGTTCAACTCAGTGCTAACTAGAGTGTAGGAGTGTTGTAGCTCTCAACAACATCAATCTAAGGTTAAATCTCATGAACAGCGTTTTCAAGATTTGCAAATGGACACATAAAAAGTCTCTCGTTCTATGTGGATCTTTGCAGTCTGCTCAAAATGTCATGAATTAATCCTGGACAGTATGATTTTTTCCTTGTGCTTTTCAATTTTCTAAAGGTTTTCGGTTTACTGGGTCCTGTTTGACTTCGGAGTCACAACAACATACATGCATACTTCTTCCATTTAGACAGGAAGAAGACTTTCTTGTATATTTAAAGTGAATGTAAATTTTATGATTTATTATTCTATATTTGATTTAATAAATTTTAGTTAACATTGTATTTCACCGCCATTATACCTAAACAATTTAAGTAAATTTATTATAAAATCTGTTAATTACGCGGCGAAAAAATCTGGCAAGATTAAATTGAGTTTGGATAATGTACTTATTATGCCTAACATTCCTTTACTTTCGTATATTTTTGTAAAAATAGCATATTAGAAATTTACTAAATTTAGCTACAAACTTCAAAAATTATGTATGTTTCATGTTTACATCAAAACATTATAAAGTACTTGATTTCAATCTAAGCATGTCTGCAATATAAAAATTATGTTGCTATGAAATTTGTGAAATTATAATAATAAATAATAAGAATAATAATGAAAATATAGCCACTTATCTATTTTTATTGTTCGAAGTTCTCAGTTAAAATATTTTAGTTTGATTCATTTTAAAATTTTAATGTTCCAGTTGTTTTTAAAATATATTTTGTACTATCTTTTTACTCTTACACAACTGATGCTTAATTTTTTTTTATAGTTTTATTAACTCACTTAATATCTGAAAAATGAAGAGCCCCAATGATTTAATAGGTAAGTGTTAGCTGTCAATTTTTGACCCCAAATCCATATATATATAATACACTGGTGGATAAAATTAAAAGACGGAAAGCATTTTCGCACATTTCTATGACGCTATTTCTGGACGGTTATTGATATAGAGCAGAGATGCCAACTGCTCCGAACATGCCAAAATAATTAAAAAAACGGTAAATAACTACAAAGTAAAATTTGCAATTATTTGACTATTTTTGCTTGCCTTTTAACAGTTATAGCATGACTTAAATACTATAAAGTGGTGAATTATATAGGCCTACGAATTATTTAGAAATAGTGGTGGATAAAAATCTACTAAATTGAATTTATTAAACCATAAATCATACTTGATAAACTACCACTTTAAAATATATATATGCTCTCCGGAGCAAGTTGGCATCTCTGATAGAGGGAACCTGAAACCCGATACCCTCCCAGCAACATTATCGAAAGGGACCATTATGCTGGTGGAGGACTCATGGTTTGGGCAGGGATCATACAAGATACCCGCACACCGCTCCATATGTTTGACAATGGTTCCGTGAATAATAAAAAGTGGAAACATGGCTTATGCATGGCATATCTTCTGGGCTAAAGGGCTGAACTGTGTTTTTTACATAAAAAATATATTAATTTTGAATGACAAAAAATATATTAGTTTTTCTCAGTTCATTTATTAATAATTTATTTAAATAACTATCAATTGCCCAGAAGGTTAAATATTTATTTAGCTCCAATAATTGTTAAGTAATTGAATTAATATTCTTCATAAATAATTAGATACTTCGAAATAAATAAAATAATTAGATTTGGGGTTTTCAATTATCCTTGTAACTCGGTCAATGACCTCTAGTAACCCTCAATAAACTGAAGGGATGCTACTGGATGCATACAGATTGCTGGCCGTCAATTGTTGTTTCATTGATGACTATTTACTGGGTAGCACTTCAAAAAATTTCGGCCAATCACTCACCCTGTGCTTTTTAGGAGATGAATGCTTGGTCGAAAGCTGCTGGCCAACCATTCACTTTTGTACTGGTGCAGGTGACGGAGTGCGGGCACTAACTCATCGCTTTAGCTGCTGGTTCCCAGCAGTTTTGTGATGTTGAACAACAGCTTTGTGTTTGCTGGATAGTATTAACCAGCCGTCGCTGGGATTCGAATCCCGTTCACCTCATTGGAAGGCGAACGCTCGCTCAGAACAATTTTATTTTATTTATAACAATCGTTGAACAGCCGACCCAATTCTTTGGGTTTAAAACTACAAATGTTCAACTACGGAGACTTGTAATTTTGAACCAAAACAGAAGACAAGGGAACTCCTGGATCAAGTATTGGGAGAAATTTGCCTTCGTGGAGGACTTTTTGATGAAACTAATTCGCATTTGCGCTACATGGAGAGGAAGACCACGAGGACCTCCCTCGTTTAGATTGACGGCAGGGGACTCAAACCCCATGATCCGTCTACCACTGACGATATTTCACGTCAGCACTGTGGCCGGTGCAAGCCGGAATTCGTATCTACCAGCCATCACTGGGATTCGAACCCAGTTCAGCTTATTGAAAGGCGAATGTTCTATCTCATGAGCCATAGTGGCTCTGCTCAAAACAATTTTATTTTATATCCGTCTCTGAACAGCCGACCCAATTTCGGGTTTACGACTACTAATGTTCAACCCCGTAGCCTTGTAATTTTGAACCAATCCAGAAGACAAGAAAACTCCTGGATCAGTATCCCCAGAGGTATTGGTTTGTTATGGAAGCATGGAGGATTTTGAGACTCGACAGATTTAACGTGCATCAGTCACCATTCGTCACCACTTCTGCCGGCGGCGGGAATCGAACCCACGACCTCTTGTACATGGATCCAGTGCCCTACCAACCAGGCTATCCCGGTCCTCGACATGTTATTTGTGTGAATTCGGATTTTCAGTGAACTGGAGTACCACCTAGATATTGTCCGTGTGATTAAGGGAAATCACATAGAAAATCTGTGAAGCATGTATATATAATTCCTTCTACATTCTGTGTACATTTTATTGATTAATTTTTTTTATTAATAGAATGCCCAGAAGTAGTAGAATCTTTAAGAGACACTTTTCAATAGAAATTTTATTACTAATGTACTTACATGTGCTTAAAGCAGTAAAGACATAACCATTCATGGTTTTCATCTCCAAACTGCCGGCAATCCTTACAGACTTTTTTTGAACATCTAGGACACAAAGCGCCACGATTTAAGATTCTTCCTAATTCAGCTAAACATCGTGCACAGTTCCGCAAAGGATCGAAACCAGGTTTCAACGCAGCTCGTTTCCTCAAAAAGCCCAATTCTTGTTTGAGTTGCCTTTAATAAAGAAAAGCATTTTATAACAACTAAAATAGAAACAATGCATACTATACAGAACAGTTACTTTAAAAAGTAAAATAATGTTGCTATGTTTTAATACAAATATTTTAATACAAATATTTTAATACAAAAAGCCGAAAATAATACCAAATAAAAAAAAACTTCTGTGTCAAAGTTAACACAGTCCGGTTTCAAAACAAAATATCATAATAACAGTCGAGTAGAGCATATCGATATTATATCCAGTAGTATATACAATTAGATATTCGGTGCTTTGAAGTAATTTTTCGGAGCAGCAGTTTCATGGTTTTTTGAGTAATGGATGGAGTTTGCAATATAATTGTAAACAACAACAATCTCTTGACCTGGTTAGAAAGTATACAGATGCTTATTACAGCTTATTCTGCGAGGCGATATTTTCAAACAGATAAGTTTGCTATTAATAAAAGAAAGAAATGGTAGAATTTCTGAATTCAAATCTGCTCTATTTCATGAAATCATAATTCTAATGGTAATTCTGGTGAGTTTGAAGTGAAAATTTGTTTTAGTTATTTAGAGATGCCTTGTTAAAAATGGAGACACGGTTGTTAGATTTAGAAACAACTCTCTTTTTTGACCTCTTTTAGCTTGTTTATTAAGGTTTGTTCTTGGTGCAAGCCGTGCACCATCATATGTCAGTGTCAGCATATTGTTCTAGAAGATTACAAATTATCATTTAGGTTTAAATTTCGAAGTTGGTATAATGTTGAAAAAGTGTTTTATAACGATTCTTTTTCAAATGACAATTCTTACGTCCTGAAATGAGGATTTTTATTTTAAACACAAATAAGAAATCAGGTAGAAAATACACGTATACAAGAAATACTACTCAAGAGAATCTTACAACACAATCATCACGTTGTGAGCCAAATGGATTCAAACACGCTAAAAACAGTATGGGCAGTCAAGAGATTGTATGGGCAGTCAAGTATTTGTTGTGGGAACCCGGAAGTATGGGCAGTCAAGAGATTGCAGCGCTCCCTAGTGTAGAAAACACTTTCCATACCTAGACGTAATTTTCAGCTTTTCGAGCTACTTGTTAAGACGCTTTTATATTTTTGGTGTCATTTGGACTTTATTTTACCTAGATTTTCATTAAAATGTTTTATTACTATTATTATTTTTCAACAGAAAAAAGAACGTTCACTCTTAAAATAACACAATTTTTTCAATTAAAATAAACTGTATAAAATAGGTTTAAATAACCGCGTTACACTTGTTCAGCTAGTCACGATTTTAGACAGAGCGTGTTTGTAAAGACAGTCATTCATAACTAGGACTTGCGGTTTAATTCTTTCGCTATTAATACCTTTCACTAGAGCAATTTTATTTTATTTTATAACCGTCGTTGAACAGCCGACCCAATTTCATGGGTTTACGACTACTTACGTTCAACTCCGTAGCCTTGTAATTTTGAACCAATCCAGAAGACAAGGAAACTCCTGGATCAGTACCTCCAGAGGTATTGATTTGTTGTGGGAACATGGAGGACTTTGAGACTCGACAGATTTAACGTGCATCAGTCACCATTTACTACACGGGGAGTCTTCGACCGGCGAGGATCGAACCCACTACCTCTTGGATATGGGCCCCTACCGACCAGGCTATCCCGGCCTATACTATTGTAATATGTTCTATTATTTAGAAAATCATGAGTGTATAAAATATATAGAATCGGTCCAAGAATGCTGCCCTGAGGTTTCTTCCAACTGTGATGTTTCTTTTTGATGATTTGCATTTTTGAATTGACCGGTGAATTCTACCTGTGCCGGGCCGGGATAGCCTGGTCGGTAGGGCGCTGGGCCCATATCCAAGAGGTCGTGGGTTCGATCCTCGCCGGCCGAAGACTCCCCGTGTAGTAAATGGTGACTGATGCACGCTAAATCTGTCGAGTCTCAAAGTCCTCCATGTTCCCACAACAAATCAATACCTCTGGGGGTACTGATCCAGGAGTTTCCTTGTCTTCTGGATTGGTTCAAAATTACAAGGCTACGGAGTTGAACGTAAGTAGTCGTAAACCCATGAAATTGGGTCGGCTGTTCAACGACGGTTATAAAATAAAATAAAAACTACCTGTGCCGCCAAATTAAAGAATTATAATGTTTTTATCGATAATTTTTTCAACTTTGAAGGAGTGAACAATTTGGTCGGCGATCTTAAAATAAGTAGGAGATTTAATAACTATTAAAATTATTAATTAAGAAAAGAAAGCAAGCTAAATACTAAGTTACAAAAGGAAGAAAAAATATAACGATCAAATAAGTTATGCGATTAATAGTTATAAAAAAATATTAACAAAGGATAACTAACAAAAAAAACAACAACATAATTTTAGCAACAAAAAAATAATAATAATAATAATAATTGGATACGTAGCCCATTTGTGATTCTGTATTTGAATTAAATTTGAAAGAAGAGGAAAAACTAATTTCGCTTTCAAATAATCGAGATTTAATTTTAAAATATTCAATTAATTCATTTTGGATTGACATAAGATGCGATTATCCAATGATAGCCAAAAAAGCTTTAAAAACTTTATTACAATTTCGTTACATGTTATTTTATATTATTATAACCGTCGGTGAACAGTCGACCCAATTTTGGGTTTATGACTACTAATGTTCAACTCCGTAGCCTTGTAATTTTGAATCAATCCAGAAGACAAGGAAACTCATGAATCAGTACTCCCAAAGGTATGATTTGTTATGGGAAGATGGAGGACTTTGAGACTCGACAGATTTAACGAGCATCAGTCACCATTTAGTACACGGGGAGTCTTCAGCCGGCGGGGATCAAACCCACGACCTCTTGGACATGGATCTAGTGCCCTGCCAACCAGGCTATCCCGGCCCTCTACATGTTATTTGTGTGAATTCGGATTTTCAGAATTAACCAACGTAAAATCGAGAAAAAGAACTAAACTGTTTAATGTAGAAGACGATATATATATGTAGAGTAGCATTGTCATTTTTACGTCCAAATATAATGAAACTATCAAAAAATATCAAGCTCAAATTTCTCATTAAAAGTATTTGTATTATTTACTTTTAATTAATCCCTTAATAAACGTACTGTTGCATTTGTAGTACACATTATTTTATTTTACATTCAAAATTATTATCATACACTATTTTGCACATAGGAGGTAAATAAACAACTTTTAACTTATTTTTTTCTTTGTCTGCCGTCAAATTTCGAAATCGTTAAAGTGAGTAAATCTTTAAAGAAATCGAAAGAATCGAAAAAGAAATCGTTAATCGACTGCACTAATGAGAATCAGTGCACTAAAGCTTAAGAATTTATAGTTAATCGCATCATGCACCACGACGTTATAGTCTCACAATATTTTGGGAGTTATTAAAACAATTATGTAAAATAAAAGAAACTAGATTACTTAAATATTTAACCTTTTCAAAATCATTTTTTCCCTTTCTAATAAAAAGACAAATTTCCATTTTAATATACCAAAGTAAAAATAACAATATACTGCCAAAATAAAATTTTAAAAAATTAACTAATTTAGCGATTGAGGGGGGAGGGGACATGGGTTTCCAAACAGGATTTTTTGACTGGACACCATATGCCATATTAGTGTTTTCGTCAGCGGGACATATATGTCCCGGTGGGCCCAAAAGGATTAAAGCAAATTTATAATCAAAAGTAAAAACTACGAGATTTTTCTAATACTAATCATTTTGTATGTTTAAAAGGTAAAAATATATAAAATGAAGAGCCAGGGAAAGCCATTATAATTAATTTCAAAAATTGTAGTTTTATTTCGTTTGTAAGTTAGTTTGAGTTCGTTAAACTAAATGTTCTAACTAAATTTCTGAATTAAAATTCCCTGACTGTTCCGAGTATCTTAGGAAAATTTTAACATAATTACTGACCATGTTAGTCTATACAATGCATTTTTTTTACCGGAAAAAACATGTTTTTTTTTCGTTTTTTTCTAATTCTAATGTCAAACATTAGATTTTGTGAGCAACAAAATAAAACTAAAAGAATATTAAACAAATGTTATACTGAAATGCAGAATTTTTACAACGAACAATTGTAATAGAAATTATAATTATTTAACTAGAACAGTGATTCGTAACTTTATTTATTTATTTTTTTTTTGTCACGGCACATTTATAACATTGATTTCGAAATTTGACGACGGGCAAAGAAAATAATAAGTTTAAAAGTTGTTTACTTACCTATAACACACTGCGTAATATACTTTATAATAATAATTTTGAACGAAAATAAAATAATATGTACTTCAAACACAACAGTACATTTGTTAAAGGATGTTAATGTTAGGAAGTTAACTGTTTTTTTTATTTATTAATTGTTAGCTTGTCTTTTATAATTATTAATTATTAGCTTTTTCTTTACATTAAGTATTATTTTTTGTGATTCCTTGTTAACTTGTTACTTTGTTAATTATTAATTGTCAGCTTGTATTTTTGTTAGTTATCCATTGTTAATTTTTTTATAACTATTGATTGCCTGTCTTTATCGTTTTATTTGTTAGCTTTCATTTCATTTCGTAAGTTAATATTTAGTTTGCTTGATTTTATTAATTAACAATTTTAATAGTCATTAAATTTTCGACTTATTTTAACATTTTAAGATTGTCAGAGACAGGATTATCGCGGACAAAGTTGTTAACGAAGTTAAAGCGTGGCAAAATTATAAAAAAGTATAATATATATATATATATATATATATACTTTTCTTCAATTGAAGCTTAACTCGTAATAAATAAAAAGCATCATAATTTTTACTATATCATTTCTAAAATTTGGCGGCACAGTTGTTGAGAATCACTAAACTAGACTCTCAATTGATTACTGTTACTGACAATTCTGAAACTGGTTATTTTCCAGGTATGTTGNATAAGCTCTGTAATATATATATATATATATATATATACTTTTCTTCAATTGAAACTTAACTCGTAATAAATA